TTTCCCTTCCAAAGAATAAACCTTATTAAGCAAAACAAAACTCGGCTTTTACCCCTATTACCTGATAGAGTAAAATCTGCTACTTAACATGTTTACTTAAAGGGTAGGGTTAGCAGTAATTAAAAAATGTGATTTAGGCTTTCTAGAAACAGATACCAACATAAAGCAAACTAACATATTCACTGTCAACCTGAAGAGGGCAGCCAGACAACATCAAAGAGATGATGTAAAACCTTAATCTCTGCAGGGCACTCTTCTGTTAGACCCGCTACATTAAAACTGGACAATTTTTATTATAAGACAAGATAAAAATCAGTGCATCTTGATGCTATCTTTCTTAATCTACCTCTCACTTGTGATGAAACAGTATTTCTGGGAAACAGATACTCCAGTTATGTCCCCACTATTTGACAGAAGACTTCCCACTGATCAATGTGTATTTTGCTTCTTTGAAATACTCTGAATATACAAGGTAGAAAGTGTAAGTCAGAAAGTATCTTTCTGCAATGGGTTGTCTTAGATTTTCTACAACAGAATCAAAGCACAATTTCATCCTCACACTTAACAGCAGCTCTTGAGGGGTGTGAAAAATGAAACAAGGAGGGACATGAATACAAAGTTACAGGATTAACATATACAGAACTGAAGAACATCCTACAATCCAATATATAATTTCCAATGGATACAGTGCTGATACAATCACATTAGTAAATTTTGTAGTGTTGGTTACTCCTTTTCCAATAAAATAATAGTAAAAAACATAAGGACTTACCCTAAAAAAATATGGCCTCCAATTGACATCAGACAATACTAATCTGTCACTTCTTACCCACCTATCTCTATCAAGGGATTAAATACTACAAAAGCATAGGGCAGAAATTATTTTGGTATGAACTCATTAGAATAATAACATTTTAGCAGCCTTTTTAGTTTGACAGAATTTTTTGATAGACAGAGAAGATTTAAATGCTATTGCTGCTACACTCACCTCTTAAGTATTGCATAATAATAGCAACACAGGAACTAACAACAACATCAGGAATATTAACCAGCTAATAGAAAATAGTTCCCGGAACAAAAGGGAATGATACTATTACTTTTACCTAGAAAATTCAAAGTACTGCAAGAGATGCTCATCAAATATCATATGTTTCATTTGAAAAGATGAATGTTGTGAGTGTCTGTGGCAGATAATCAGATTTGTATAGTCTGGGTTGAATTACATTAATTCTGTTAGCCCAACATTATACTAAGGAAAACACAAAAGGAATATTAAAAAATAATAAAAAATACTTTGGAATTATTTTCGAATGAAAGAAATAAAACATTGCTTTTTGGTAGACTGTACAAAACACTTTAAAATGCACAATTGGCAAATAAGGTACTACTAGGTCACCTACCTATTTGTAACCATCTATTTAAAGTAAACTGATCAATGTTGCAATTTACCTCCATAGCAATTTTTTTATTATTATTATTATTATTATTTTTAATGGTTTTCCAAAAGAAAGAGAGGGGGCTAAGTATATATTTTGATTTCTAAGCATTGAGAAGATAATAAATTCAGAATGCTTATTTATTTTTGTTTAGGGTGACTCAAAATGACAAAAAGGACTAAATAATCTACAAATATGTCCAGAAAACTCACCACACATGAAAAAATAAAAAAGAGTATGGACACTAATTGAAAATTATGCTGTTTATGCAACCTAGGTATCTATAATTGGAGAAAACAAGCTAAAATCCATGCTATTCTATTTGCAGCATCCCATGAAGTTTCCAATATTCTTCAGATGAAAAAAAGCTACAAGATCATATTTTGTAGAAGCTGTGAAGTTAAAAAAAAATAATAAAATGTGACCACTGCCTTGCTAAACAGGATACATCAATAATTCTATCAAGATCCTGAAGTGCACCAGAAAAGCAATTGCAGAACTTTCAACAGCTCCTTCCACATTTCCTGTTCCTTCTTTGAACAAAAGTTCAAAAGATAATTTCCTCTCAATATAGTTAAGTGACCTATGGTTTTCTCACTACCTGCTCTTGATTAGTCAGTGAAAAACTAAAAGGTACAGGATCCTGTTTATTCACACCTCCTTGACTGCTGGAATCCTTTTTGCTGTTGATCTACTCCTTGATAGGCTATGTGAAAACAGTATTGTGGGATATGTTCTTTAACAGCGAAAGGATCAGAAATCCCCTCTTTTCTTTATTAAAAACCTTCTCCTGCAGGTCTCATCGACAGGGTAGATGTTAATAAAAAATCTTCTCTCTTGTTTTGTCATTTCCTTCTGTACACTGTGTCAACAGCAGAACACAGCTACATTCTTCCCTTTCTGGAACACGAATTACATTAAGCTCAAATTTAAACATATAAAAACTATATACAGAATTAAAATTTACCTTTATATAATCCTGTAAGAAATACAGAGGGGATTAGCTTAAGGAGTTTACTTGGAGCTCATCCTGCCGCAGGCTGTCTGCAGTAACTACAAGCTTATTCCAATAAATGCCACTAATAATTTCTGTTGTAATTCAGCCTTGTTACTCAACCAGAACAAAAGCCTTTGGAAAGCATCTACCTCATGTCCTACGTATTATATAGTATATATAGTGTACATGTATTTACACATGCATATTTATTTATACACACACACAACATCAGATATTGGGAGTAATCGGTGCTCTTTTCAATACAATTAAACTTCTGATGCTTTTAAAAATGCAAGTCTGGTCACTATGGGGGTGAAAAAATGACTGGCTACACATACTTCTCTGTATTACCAGCCATTTCTAGTTTCTTCTTAAAAAATGCTGTATTTGAAAAACTGTTTTTTCTAAGAATCTGGAATTGGGTTTGTTACTTCCACAGTAAAATACAACTAAACATTCTCCAGGATTGAAACAACACAATTTTTAGTTTGTGCAGTTTATAAGTTTGTCTCCACAAATAGTCACTTGCCATTGCTATAGTCTTCCTCTGTTTCATTTTCCTCCTCCTCATTTATCATGCTAATTCTAGGCTTTAATCTTGACTTGCAATGATCCAAATAGGCTCAGTTACATCTTTAAAAGAAACATTTGGGAATTCACATGCATGAACAAGCATAGTAGAAAGCAAGAGAAACAAAATCCATGTTTCAGGTTGCTTGAACATAAGAGATACATAAATAACTTTTTTACAGGTTTGGCCATTATCACGTAACAAACTACTGTCACAGGTCAAAGTACAGTGTGACACTACCTACTGAAACTCAGTTATCTTTAGCCTCTGATGCTGCTCTAGTCTCCTCAAGAAACACTACTCCAAAGAAAAACCCCCAAACAAACAAAATACGCAATATGTTGCTGGGCTTCAACTGTCAGGGAAAAAATTCAAGTGACCAGTTTTACTTCTAACCCAGGTAACCCCTTCTATATTAAAACACCCCAGTAATGAATTTGAAAAATGAACCAGACAAAAATCTGAATCATCTGGCAACAAACAAGACACTCTTATGTACCAGTATGCAAAGCAGAGATGGTT